TCACACAATATAACCTTAACCACGTTTAATCTTTTGCTGTTAGAGTCATAGTAAATGAATGAATTAAAAATGTTTCCTAATAGTATCCGAATGTCCCATGGCAAAAATGCTGGGAAATTTGTCAGTTTAAAACGTAAGCAATGGCGTGATAATGTAGTGAGTGCAAAAAAAAAGAAAACTCGAAGAAAATTCTGCTTCTCAAGATATTTACATTTACGTCAGTAATCGAGTGATAGAAGTTGAATCGATTGCCAATGATTTTTGGTGTAATAAATGTAATTTACCGCTATCTTTGAAACACATTGGAAGCTGATATTTTTCATTTATTGTGATATTTTCAATTATAAAATAAAAAAAATTTGGTAAAAATAAATAAATTAATAAATATAAATGAAAAATATAATTGCGTTAAAGTTTACATTGAATGTATTCAATGGTCTGAAGTTCGCGCGCTACGCAGCTTTGTTAAATGTTTTGACTCCATTTTAAGCTAGGTTAATCGAAATTTTTTTGTGATTTTTTAATATTAATTTCTCAATAAATTCCACGGTAACCTACATATTTTATTGTAAAAAACAAAACTTAAATATTTCAAAAACCTTGTTTTTAGTTTTTTTCTACTCCATCTAATCAATAAATAGTATAATTCGAGAATTGTTGTTGAGGTCTTACTTTCTCGTAAGACACTGTACAAATACATACATTTAAAAAAAAATTTCTTAGGTAAGGTATAGTTAAAAGTTCACTATTAGATAAATAAGGACTTCAACTATTAGAAAAAAATTAATTTTAGTCATAATATAATATTTTTTATTTAACATTGGTGGCGAAAGGACCTCCTTAAAAACAATTTCTAAAATTATTGTTCGGAGCTGTATTTTTTGAAATAAAAAAGTCGGCGTCAGTTGTCATTGACAACGCGTTGAACTTAAGACTTAAAGGTTTATTATTTTTGTTGTATAAAATCCCATGACTTCAAAAAAGAACGACTAATAACGTTCTACAATTAACAAGACAAGAGCTCTGTACATATGCTATCGAGCAAACGCTTGAGAGAAGAAGGGAGAACATTTGGAAGTTGCTCCAGATCAAGCAGCGTTAAAAAGGAACGTCCATTTAGAGTCAGAAATCCTCTAGCTGGGATGAGACTTAACCCTAAAAATGTTAAATACAAAGAGGGGTCGAATGATATCTTATTTTAAAGGTACTTTTATCTAGATTATAACCCCCGAGTTTTACATCGCTACTATCTACGTAGCCCATACACTGGCTAACCAAAAGTACAAAACCGGTTTAACATAATATTTACATTGTTAAACTTTTTGTAACAATTCTAGTTTTATTGTTATCAGACGACATTCTTTGGTCGCCGTAAAGGACTAACGTGTAGTTTATTTCGTTATAGAGTCGGCATAAAAGTGGCATATCAGTGATAATGGTTTACTTAATTGCTGAGAGGGTGCAAATAATAATTTTTTTGAGAACAATGGCTGTGCTAATAGAAATGCCCAACTGTTTAACAATCAAAATCGCAAGTATATTTTGGAGTTAGTCCAAAAATTTTGGAAAACAAGGTCAATAATTAACAAATAACGTGAAATGGAAAATGCTGTAGTAAATGGTACAGAGGTGGCGATTTTAGGGCATGGTTGTTCAAGAACCCTCATTGAGTATAAGACAGTTGGCGATAACATCTGGTATTAAGAGAAGTAGCATTCAGAAGTGTCATCCCCAAAAAAATACATCTGGTACAAGAACTTAACTAAGACGATTTTGATAGGCGATTACAATTTTGTGAATTTATGACTGAACGAGCAATAAATGATCAGCAATTTCTTTTCAACGTCCGTTTTTCTAACGAATACACTTTTTTCCTAAATAGTACGGTAAATCGTCACAACTGTCGTTATGGGTCTGATTCAAATCCCAAAAAATTTCATGAACTGTATACGCAACATCCGGAAAAACTGAATGTTTGAACTGGAATTTTTCTGGAACCGTATAATTGGCCACTTTTTTTACCTGGAATTCTAACCGCAGAAATGTATCTGGACGATCAGAATATAGCAAACAACCTAATATTCCAGCAAGACGGTGCGCCACCCCATTTTGCACTGACTGTTCGTCAGTATTTGGATCAAACGTTTCCAGGTCAATGGATCGGAAGAAGAGGAAGTATTGAGTGACCCCCACGGTCTCCAGATCTAACCCCGTTAGATTTTTTTATGGGGCCACTTAAAACTTAAGCCATCCAACCAACATCACTGAAAAATCTTCGACAACGGATAATTGATTACAAAATAAAGTTTCACTCCCGCTAAAGCGTTTCCGTTCAGGGGGTGAAAGTGGCCAAAAAATATTTCCCCCTAAAATCAAAAATTGACGGTTCCGAGCGTTTTTTCGTAAATGAGCTGAGGTACTCAAAATTAGCTCTGTTTCGTTTTCAAATGCCCACCTTGTATATATACAATACTACATTATGTGTATATTAATAAATCATCAAAAATCTTCTAAATTCATGACAGTTAATAAATGTTTTATATTGTGTCTCTACTTATTTCATTGGTACTCTAGCACCGCAGCACCATTGAATACCAGTGATGGCTGCACCGAGCATATAGGGTTGCCAGAGACCAGATATACCGATTTAGGTGGGAGCCCAAGCATACCGATTGTTGATACTCTCGTCTGCCGCTTCAATCCTCAAAAGTCCAGCAATTCGACATTGGACAATACCTTTTTTTTTTCAAGAAAATTTTCATAAAGTCAACGAAAATGGTTTTTAAAGTGCTTTTAAAAACCGGTGGTAAGTGTTATGTGGAGGGGGGAAAGAGTTTCCATTTCCCGCATAGAGGTTGAGCACCCAAAGCAATTTTTGAGTTCCGGCGCCTATGGTAAAAAGTAATGAAAAGTAGTCGATCTTGGACAAAGAAAACACACAGTTAAATCTCCATCTTGGATGTTTTTTGAAAAACACTTTGGAAACAAAATTTGCAATTGTATTTTCGTTTTTTAGGCAAGATATGAAAAGAAAATTCTAAAACATCGTCAAAACATAAAAGTCAGTAATCCATTTGTAGTTTCTTCATTTTTAAACTATAATTTGGTTTTGTTTATAAGAAATTCAGACAAAGTAGTTAAATTAATTTCGCGCATGCGCAATACACTTTTGAAAAGTGTCCAAAAAAGAGGTAAATAAAACAAGGGTGGTCCTTAAGATCTCACAAGAGTAATTTAATACGACCGGTTTCGAGGAGATCAGATCCTCATCATCAGGTATGGTCTAAAATAGATAGGTAAAAACGAATGAGCTCATAACTAATAAAGTGGGTTTAAAAAATTATGAAAGTTGTCAAATATCAAGAACTCACCCGTATTACTCATCTATTTAAGACTAAGCTTAGAGATTATCACAGGGTCGGTGTAAAAAACAAGTATGCGAGTATTTTTTAAGAAATGCATAAAAACAGTAGTTGCAACAAAAAGTTGTTATTTACCTCTTTTTTGAACATATAACTCACACATGGCTACCACCTTCAACTTTAATTTGAAAAGTGTGTTTGGACTGATCAACTTTTTAGACTAGTCTGTCAGACTTGTCTGTGGACTTTTCCAAGCGACCCATCACTAGTTCAGATTACTAAGTACTTAATTATGCAAACATATATAGGGTAAAGACTGTCGATTATGAACATATCACAGCAGAAAAGCACTATATCAAAGAGGAATAGGTAAAGTGAGGAACATGCCGTACTTCGGAGGAGACGTAAAACAGTCATCCTAAATCGTTAAACATCCCTATCCTACCCTGTTTTGAATAAAACAGGGTTCTGAACATTTTCTGGTAAGGATGTAGCGTGCTCAATGGCGTCGGTGACTAAACCTCGTAGTTAGAAATAGGCCGACATCAAATAAAAACAATAAGTACTCAATTGACTTTGTTTTTGTTTAAAAATTATATATTGAATGCAACTAATCCACCTTTTATGTCGAATTTTTAATGAAATTTAAGTTATTTACCTCACAGAAAGAATAACATTAATGACTCAATATAACATATTCAAAGCAAATTCTTTAAAATGCATATTAAACTAGTTTAAGAAAATAATAAATATAATGCCTAGGTTGTTTCCCCACTAGAGTTGCTGAAATAAATTCGAATTAAAAATTTTTCGAAAATGGTAGTTCAAATAACAAAATTCGAATCACAAAACTAAACAAGTTAGAAATTAAAAAGGTCGAATGTGAGACAAAATCGAAATTGTAGAGGAACAAAAGCATTATATTACGAAGCTAGTTGTTTTTTTATTTATTTTAATTTTATATATTTTTTGTAAAGCAACCCAGTCCACACCGGTTAGGTAAATTAGTTTTTTTATATTTCTCATTTTACATATAATTGTTCTGCGAATAAACCCGCCTTTGCTCCAGGCGGCAAAGGTTAAGTAAATTTTTTACTTTTTTTTTAATAAGAATACTAGAAAAATATTTCTATTTTACATTTTTATCCAACCATTTGAGTTCATGTGTGGGATTAGAGCACCCCCACTGTGATATAGTTCAGTTTAATATTCTGCCTGATGACGTTAAAGCAAGTTCAAGTGTAAATGTGTTCAAAAAAAAGATGAAGAATCATCTAAGGTTTATATAAACACAATTTGTTTTTTATGTTATTTCTTGTTTGTTTCGAAACAATAATATTTAATTTGATATTCAAAAACCCACTGATTTTTCCTAACGAATTTTTGTAATTTTTTTTTTATTCATATTTGGTTTTTAAATTACTAAATCTACTTTCTTACCTCATAATGTACCTACGTTACTCTCTGTACTTATTATCCTTTGATAAATAAACATTATTCTATTCTATATAATACTATCAGCTACTTTATCATCTCAGTTCATTTCGGTTCAATTTTTTTTGTCATGAATGTTATTTTTAAGCTATCAAATTTGAAAACACATAGAGCAACTCTGTATATAATGCTCTCAATCTTATACCATTACGATCATATTTTCTTGTAAGTCCGGTCATGCTGTAATCCCTTAAGTCCCTCTATGCCTTATTTAGGCCTTTTACAGCCCCACAACCTCGAAACTCCCTCTATTAGGGCGCCTATGGTGGTCAACAGTCGGATTAAATCATTAATTCTGGAACTAAAACCATGAGGAATCTAGAAGTTTGGGTGGATTGTAGAAAATTGTGAATGTACTCTATTGCTCAGTGCCTGCTAGAAATTTCAAGGCAGGATTGGAGTGTAACATTTGAGTATATAAATAAGATTGTTTTGCCATTTGAGTAAGTTAAAGTTAAAACATCGCTGTGAGCAGATCAATATAGGTAATATAAATTAGTATATACGTAAATGTCCATGTAAATTAGTAAAATATTTGAGGATAATAAATTAGAATAAACTGTTTAAAACAAATATATCATTTTGATCATTTGTATTTTCGATCATTTGTAATTTCGATCATATGCAATTTCGATAATTTGATCTAATTTCAATCTCTTTTGGGTTTCGATACTTTCTCATTTTCAATCGATTCCATTTTAAACTTTTTTTAGTTCCGAATTTTATATTTTCGAAACTTTGTTATTCAAACTTTTATAGTTTCGAAGTTTTGTCATTCAAGTTTTTGCAGTTCGCAATATTGTTTTCTAACTTTTCTAATTCGAATTTATTTCACCAACCCTACCATGGCATCAAATCACTTTCAACATTTAAGCTGTTAACATTCTTGAAATATAATAAATTAGTAATATATCAACAAAAACATTAACAAAAAATAAAATAACAACTACATGGCACATATTTTCAAAAATTCAAACCTCAACCTCAATTATGATCAGCCCGTTTACCGTTCATATAACCAATCCATCTTTCAGCAGTAATTTTAAATAAAGGTTCATTCTCAATAGTACTCAACAACAATAATTGATTAACATGGGTGGCATGATAATCCCACCTCGCTAGATTTGGTGCAATACCAATAGTAAAATGTCTAAGATCATAAGATGTGACGCTACCCATATCAAACAAAGTTAGCATGCTCTTTAAGGAAATCATACCTTCATTGTACAAGAATTCTGCTTCTTGAGCTTGACCTGGTGGGGCAATGGTTATTAAATCGTAAAGCCCCAACAGGGAGTAAATAAACCCGTTCAAGACAAAAGAAGCTGGTTTTGTTGGGTATTCCTCGTACCAGTGATATTTGTCAGCAAACGTAGCTCTTACTCCTCCTTCAGAACTCGTAACTCTAAATGGTTTGAGTCCTCTAAGAGCTGCTGTCAAGTAACGAATATCTCCTCCTGAGTGGTAGTAAGCTCTAGAAAGAACTGATAAGCCATGGCCTTGTCCCATGGATGAATACCAACCTATTAAAATATTATATTGGAATAAAAACAATTTAAGGTTTCGATTTATTATTCTTCGAGAATTAAAAGCTATTTCTGACTCTTAAACATAAAAAACATTACCTGGTTCTAAATCATGGAATCCGCTAGCTAATTTTCGCTTAACAGGAATTGGCCATCCACCAGTTTCAATATCTTGGTGCCTAACAAACCATTCAGCAGCATCGTAAAATTGCTGAATATGTTCAGAAGAAGACAGTGTAAGATTGTCAATCGATCCTAATCCCCTAAGTGTTATGTCAATTATTTTCATTTTAGATCTTGAAATTTTAGGCTTTGATTTATCTTTGTCTAAATAAGCCAGACCTTTATGAAGATCAATAATTAGATCCCTTGTTATTCTTTTCCAAGCTTTAACTGTTCCAATGCCATGGTAAATATTATTGTCCTAGAAGTAGACACATTTCATGTAAATTTTAATCAAAACGCACCATTTTTCAAAATATTCTTTTATTTTCTAAATATTAGTGTACTTAGTGCTGAGCAGAGTTGTCACTCAGCAGCCAAGAGGCAAATAGAAAACATTTAAATGGTTCTACTGTTAAATTTGCCTCTGTGTCTGTGAGAAAGCTGATATCATACAGGGTTGGACAAAATTAACAAAACATCAGATTTCTGGCTTGATTAGACAAGTAACAAACATGCTGGGACAGTGGATTTTAGATGCCCATTTTTGATATACGTATAGATTTTATGACGTCATCATAAGTAAGAGTAGGAGTAAAAAAAGAAAAGTCTAGAAATGTCATTCCATGTCAAGAAACATCTGGACGTTTCGAGAAGGTTCAAACGGGCTATATAAATCGATGATCCTGACGTCAGAGTTTCAGTTTTATGATAGACGTTATACGTTTATGTTATCAGTTAGGTATATAGTTGAACCGTAAAAGTCGAGTTGAAATAAATTGAGTTTTTTTATTTATTTATTTTTTTATGAAGGAAACTGGAAAAAGCAAAAAAAATAAAGAAACAAAACATAAAAAATAACAAGACAAAATGTATATATAATATGTAATAAAAAAAAATATGTAAATAGGTAATATTTGTAGAACTTGAGCAAAATCGACCAAATAGGCGAATGAACTGAATGTTCGTAGTCATACAATCCTAAGCAACAAGAAAAATAAATTGAAAAAATAAATAAATTTTAATGTTGAAATACATGGTCATACATACTTGATGAAACAAAATTTGATTTTTCTCGAAAATGGTCGACTTTAGAGCGTATGACCAAGAGTACCTTTTTTGTGTAGAAAACATTGGCGGTTCAAATGGGCGTCTCAAAACCGTACTTTTTCCAGTGGCATAGAAATTTTTTTTTCAATTTCAACACCCTGTATCTCGAAAATGGTGCATTTTAGAGGGTAAGTTAATAAAAAGGTTTTTTCATATTTTTGGACGAGCTATCACGTCCTGAAGTCCTGCGCATATATTATGAAACACCCGTATATGCGGAAAATACATGTTTCAACAAAACAGACAAACTATTACTGACTTTGTAAGGCGAGCGTATCTTGGATATTTTGGAGTTAACCTAGGTGATCAGGACAAAAAGTGGCCCGCATCTCGTATGTAAAATTTGTACAGAGCATTTACGGCAGTGGACTACCGGGAAAAGAAAATGTCTAAAATTCAGCGTACCAATGGTTTGGAGAGAACCAAAAAACCACTTCAATTATTGTTATTTCTGTTTAGTAAATACTAAAGGAATCAATCGAAATAACCGCAGTAAGTGGACTTATCCCAATGTAGACTCGGCAGTACGCCCTATCCCGCACTCAGATGAAATACCGATTCCAACATTTCATCGGCTACCAGATATCTCTGATGACGAATATTTTCCCTCTGGTCGCTGTTCTGATGCTAATAAAAGTTCTGATGCTAATGAAACTAACAGTGACTATGATGAGACGTCATCAGTTCCTCAACGCTTCAATCAAAATGAATTAAATGATCTCACCAGGGATCTCAATTTATCGAAAAAAGCTTCTGAAGTACTGGCTTCTAGGTTGAACGACAAAAATTTATTGGAACAAGGAAATTACCTTTTACCGTACAAGAGAAAAGTATCTGCTACCATTCTTTTCTCAAGAAGATAATCTTGTATTTTGTCACGAAATTAATGGACTCATGAAAGAAATGGGACTTTCTGAATATATTCCAGATGATTGGCGCCTATTTATTGACAGTTCAAAGCGAAGTTTAAAATGTGTCCTTCTACATAATGGGAATAAATATGGTTCAATATCACTAGCTCACTCAACGAAACTGAAAGAAGAATATAATACCGTAGCTTTGGTCTTGCAGAAGATAAAGTATCACGAACATCAATGGATGATTTGTGTAGACTTAAAAATGGTAAACTTTCTTCTTGGGCAGCAAAGTGGTTACACAAAATATCCGTGTTTCTTGTGTCTCTGGGATAGTAGGGACAAAACACACCACTGGGTTAGAAAAGATTGGCCCCAAAGAGAAAACATGGACGTTGGGGAAAAGAATGTCATTAACGACGCTTTGGTTGAAAGAGAAAAAATCATACTACCTCCGTTACATACAAAGATGGGCTTAATGAAGCAATTTGTAAAGGCTCTTGATAAGAATGGGTCATGTTTTGCATATATAGGGGTAAAAATGCATCAGTTGAGCACAGAAAAACGCAAAACAGGGATATTTGACGGCCCACAAATAAGACAATTAATTAAGGATCCTGCCTTCATAAATTCAATGAATCAAGTTGAACGAGAAGCTTGGACATCATTTGTTTCAGTTGTAGAAAATTTTCTAGGCAAACATAAAGCTCAAATCTATGTTGAAATGGTTAACAAGATGCTTAATAGTTTCAAATCCTTAGGGTGCAATATGAGTATTAAAATACACTATTTACACAACCACTTAGACTGTTTTCCAGAAAATTTGGGAGACATTAGTGAGGAACAAGGTGAAAGATTTCACCAAGATATTAAAATGGAGGACCGCTACCAAGGAAGATGGGACATGCACATGATGGCAGATTACTGCTGGAGTTTAAAAAAGAACTGTTTAAAAAAACAATTAAGAATGTCGCGGAAAAGAAGCTTTCGAAGTGTTGAGTGACTATTTGATATCTTCAATGTTTTTTTTTTTGTTTGTAAGTACGACAAATTGATATAGAATCAGCTCAAAAAACCTCGACACCAAAACAGCTGTTCCCCTGTGTTATCTACTGTTTGCCGATGATTTAAAGATTTACTTAAAGGTTAACAGTGGCGTTTGTTGTAATAAACTAGAAAAAGATTTCCATGCCTCGTGTGTGTAATAGTCTAACCCTAAACAGTAGTAAGTGTTACTGCATTACTTTTACAAAAAATCATAATCAAATAACACATAACTATGTTTGAAAAACAAAACGCCAATTAAAAGTGTTACCGAAATTAAAGACCTGGGAATCTTATTTTGCTCAGATCTTTCCTTTAATAATCATATAAATTAAATTGTTAATAGAGCAATGAAAATGTTAGGTATGCTGATAAGAAACTTTAGCTCGCTGTCTTTAGATGCCTGTAGAATGGTTTATGTTGCATATGTTAGGTCGATTTTGGAGTACAGCTCTACCATATGGTTTCCATTTTACAACAACTCTGAAAAAAGGATTGAAAATATCCAAAATAAATATTTGCGATATTGTGCCTTTAAACTTGGTCTAGTGACAGGTACATATAATTATTCCACAATTCTGAATAAACCTCCCAACCAGGGCCGACTAGAGGGGGGGTAGCCGGGACTAATTCCCGGGGCCCGGACTCAAATGGGGGCCCGGCAGCGGTATAAAGGGGACCCGACAACTGAATTTTTTTTGTTTTGTATGAGGAATTCGACACAAGACGAGAGGGGGAAGTTTTTGATAGGGTTTTTTTTTTTTTAGAAACTTTAATTCAAGTACAAGACAATAGATCTGAAAAGGTCGCGTTTTTTTTTTTTTTTTTTTTTTTTAAGAAAAAGCAATTGCAGCAGAGGAAAAGTTTTTGTTTGAAGAGCTGTTTTTTGTCACGGGGCCCTATCTACAGAATTGTCCTGGGGCCCGGCCTGGCTCTCGGCGGCCCTGCTCCCAACCCTTGTAAATCAAATAATCTTCATTGATCTGTCATTCCTCTATAAGATTATAGCCGGTATTGTTACTTCTGATGAGTTATTATCCATGATTGCATTTAGAGTTCCCACAAGAACTACAAGGAATAATAGTCTATTTGCAATTCAACTTCACCTCACTAATTATGCTTATCATACGCCCCTACCTAGACTAATGAGACTGGCTAATCAATACAATTTAGATGTCACTGGGTGTTCAATTAGTCAATATATTTCATCTCATGTATTTAATGTCAAGATTTTTTATACCTACCTTTTATAATGTATTTAAGCTATTTTATGTAATTTATGTATATTAATGGATCTATCCCTAATATATTTATTTAATAACGCAAAAAATCTGGTGTCCCACCAAATTTGCCCAACTACGTATACATACTATTTGTGAAAGATGCAAGTAGGATCAATATAACGTTGTTGTACTCTGCATAAACAAACGTGGAGTCATAATTTTTTTATAAAATAGTTTCATAATAACATTTTAAAACTCGTTAAATACTGTGCTATAGACTTTACAATATTACATTTTTAACTAATTGGAAAAATCGACTAATTTTTTTATTATATCCCAATAAAAAGCATAGTGTCCAACTCACATTTTTGTAAACATAATATTTTGCTTTTATTTATTATTATTCAGTAAAAGAATAAAATAAAACTTTGCTTAATTTTTCATACTTTTCTAAAATCATACCTGCATTTTTAATTGTTCATTTTTTATAGTGTTAATTTATGTATCACTTCTGTAATGATGATTATTTTATGCATAATATTAGTGAAATATCAATAATTTAGAAATTTAAATTAATTTCTTGGGCATTTAGGCAGTGTTGTTTATTAGGTCTGCCGAAAGTCTGAGAAATCAGTTTAGAACCCAACTATATGCATAAGGCATTTTTGTTCAATATGACATAACTGATAATAAATAAAAAATTTAACACTTCATTACCTGAGAAGTAATCCAAATATCTGATGTTATATAGTGTAAAAAATGTATTTCTTTAGTTTCTCGATTTTGCAGAGTGATACAAAGACTGCTATTATTGGTTAATAGAATATCAAGACTCATAACAAAGTATAAAACATGATCCATTTTCAATCTAACACCTTCCATGTAATTTTCACTGGTGGAAAAATTCAAAATTTTGGTATTTAAAGTTTTGTCAAAAACTCTTTCAAGTTTAGCAGTTGTTGGTACAGTCCATTTAGCAAAATCTCTTTCACAATCATCTATTATTTTTCTCCTAGGTTCAGGCTCAGTTAAATTTTTGCTGAAGTGTGATAATCCAAATTGTGCTATAAATATAAAAAAGCTGATGTTGCAACAATATAATAGATTGTATAAAAAGAATGAATTTATGGATAATCCACTCAAGAAAAATTATTATTTCAATATTAAAAATAAATTAACAATATTTTAATTTATAACTTTCATTTGGAGTATGAAAGTGTGAAAAAAGTTCCTTTATTTCTCACAAAGTCAATTTATTGGCAACCAGTTTCGAAGTGATTACTTCATCATCAGACACACTTAAATGGAAAGTCATGGAGTCAATGTAAGGAAAGGTGAAAATTAATTAAAGGAAAAATGAAAATTGAACAAAAAAATTAAAACAAAGAACAAGAGCGAAGGTTAATAATAATTTGACTTACCATGACATATCCATTATGGATAATCTATGTAATTTTAACACATAAAATTAAAAAGTCACTGATGTGAATATATATAAAAAAGGATGTCAAAGAAATTTTATTTTTATTTAACCATTAAAAAATCAAACTAGAGGTACCTACTTAAGGTTGGAGGAACCAAAAACAATATTTGAATTTACATAAAACAATAACAAAACAAGTTACAAAGAAACATTTTAAAATTTTTATCAAATCGGGACTGGACATATTTAAAAGGAGAATCAAGTTTTTAAAGATATAACCAAGGGACTTTTTATCTATATAAAATTCTACTACGGTCAGGAAACTTTTTCAAAAAATAATAGTTTAAGAGACAAAGGAAAGCTACATAGCTAATCTTGGTCTTTTCAGAGCAATTATACATTATGTGTTATACCTCGCAAAATAAATTGACATTCTGCAACTCAATTCTCATAATACATACAGATTTAAATACAATCTAAGAAAATCTACCACAACTAAATGATTTTAGGTATTAATAAAGCTTTTTTTCTAGGTTATTAATTAAATAAATGTATATGTATACCTATTTGAGTGGGATAGTAGTATCCTTGACTTTCCCATTGTGTTGATACAGGTACTCCTTCAATTGCACTTACACATTTAACTCTTTCTCGTACTTCAACATTATAGTTTTCAAAGTACATAAACACGCCTCTTGGATCATATTTTGCTTTAGGGTGGTACACTTTACTATAGCTGTGGGTCCATTCAAATCTCTCCGTTCCATCATAAGTTGCTAACTTACCATACACCTCAAAATACCTATGTAAGAATGAAAAGGGAATGTATACATCATCTCCCTCTTTGCGACAACCTATAATAATCTCTCCATTTATATCACAGTCTATTTCTTCTGATACTGGGACATCTAATGTTTTGGAGTTCATATTGTAAAACTTGCTCCATTCTTTCTCTGAATTTCCACAAAATGAATACAGTGTTAAAATGGTTAATATTCCAATGAGGAATATAAAAAGCAATGCTACTTTTATGTTAAATCGCATCATAATAAAGAAGATGGGAAGCTCCTGAAAAGAAAGACAAAATAATACAAATATTTTTACTGGATAACACTTACTTTTGACACACTAACACCGCTCCTGGTATAGCCAGGTTTCTTTTCGGCAAGATTCATTTAGTTGTTTTTACATTATTTTTATGTAATTGAGCATTGCAATGTTTAAAATATGATAAACCTATTGTTTTGATTTACCATCGATATGCACATATTTTTTATAAATACCACAACACAAAGTCACAAATACATACAAGTAGAAAGTTGGAATACCATTGACAATTGACGTTTGTAGGTCAACGGCAGATCAACTGTCACTGCCGGAATTGCTGTGTTCGTGCTTTCGACCGCCTGAAATAGTTCACTTCACTGCCTGAAATGTTCTGTGCCTGAAATCAGTGAGGTTGAATCCTGAAATCGAAATACACATGGTCATCTGTTGTTGGCGACAGGCTCCGCGGAAAATGGAAGCAGTATGTAAACCATAGATAAATTAATTACTTTATTGATGTGAACCTACTCTGAGATGTGAACTGTTCACTGTTCTTAACTTGTTATTATCACCTGACATCTTTCAATATTTGACACATTTGACATTTTCAATTTCCATTGAGTCAAATGGAAATTGCATTTTATCAAAGAGTTTATCATTATAATCATACAATTACTTGGAATTTCATCTCTTTTAACATGCCTTTCATGTGATATTTGTTGCAGTATGTTCCACCTATTTAATTTTATTGGTGCATACAGTTAGTTTTAAAAATCAAGGTAAGTTTTGTAAGTCATAATAAGAAATGTTTACTTAAATTTTGTGTTCCTTAGATGTATGAAATATCTGTGAAGTTTTTGGGAAAGGAGACGAGAGATCTAATTTCAGCATTATTAAACCCTAAAAAAATCATACCCAATGAGAGAGGTTTATGTCGGTAAGTTATAATTCGTTAAAATATATAAAAAAAATCACTGTTCCATCTGTCATACATTTTAAAACTCTTCCAAGTAAATTAATACAGCTGATCCCCAATCCAGTATACAAATATTACTAATACTAGACCTAAATAATAAGCCAATGATGCAAAGATAATCTTATATAAATTGTCTTTTTTATAAGTAACAAATATTTAAGACAATGATTTCGACACTAAGGTCATCACTAAACCTAAAAGTAATGAAACAATTATCTTTTACTTTAAATACAGTTTAAAAATACTGTTAGTTCCATGTAATATTCTAAATGCAGAGTACTTACAATAACATAGGTATGAGGGAACATCTACAATGGATTTCGATTTTTAAAAAATATTTACTTAGGATTCTGCTAGGACTGTCATACATAGAAGAAAACTCATTAATGTAAATATTTTTTACTGCATTATATTTCTGATTAATTTTCAAATATTTTCTAATTTATTTTCAAAAAATTATGATTTCCCTAAATACCAAAACTAGAATTCATAGTGATATTCATTAGAAATAAATATCTTATAATGTCATCAAATATAATGGGCTTAAAATATTCAACCCCCTTCTTTTGAATATTAAATGTGCTTTAAGTCTTTCAAAATCGGTCTTTCTTATTTAATAATGTATACATACCTACTATCTTAATGTAAGTAATTAGAAATGTAGAATACTAAAATGTTTCATCATTTAATTGTTATTAGTGTTCTTTGTTCTATATTTGACCTATGGCATAAGTAACAATTTTATTTTATTGTGAATTGTAAAAGAACCCTTATTCAATAAAGATATTAATGTAAGTTCACCAATAATTGACAGTGTTCCACTAATTGACACTCATTCATTGTTCTTCAAAAATAAATTAATTTAATTAATTAATTAAAATTTCTCTGCAACATCAGTATTGTTGGATTATTTAGTAACCCTGTGTCCTACATAAAGGATGTTAGGGGTTATAGTGTGTTTATTTTAAGTAAATTCATGAGGTCAGTAAGAACCAAATTGAATCTCTATTTCCCATCACTGTGTATTAAATTTATTTAAATTATTCCTGTGCTTGTATTAAACAACACTGATGGGTTTTTACTGGTTTTTAAACTTGTAAATCCTATAAATTCATTTTTATTAAAGTGTTGATGACTGGAACAAGCAAATACAAATACAGGGTGTTGTTGTAGTGTTTAAAAAAATATGTAATCAATCTTTTAAATATGACATCTACCAGCTTTTTGGTTCCAGTCATTGGCTATGATGTCAAATGTTGGTACAAGAAGTGTCATCAATAATTGGAATATCTCTGTTACAGTTATGGCACCTAAACAAATTATAATAGACTCAGTTGTGAATTTGATGTTTATTTTTATTTAGTATATTAAAGTTTTAAGTTTAATTAAAAAAAATGTTGCCTTTATTTTGTGCCAATTACTGGTACATGAAAAAATCAATTGTCAATTAGTGTTGCTTCAAAGTACCTACCTTCTCCATAATACTTCTACATAATACTATAATGCATATATCCTTGTCCAGTAGTATCAATTATTGGTGCAGTTACCTTACTACATTCAGAATACTCTCCACAAGTGACAAATTATAAAGACCACTTGCACTCTTACTTTTGTCACACACTCAAATTTACTAGGCATCCTAACTCTGAATATTAATTAGAGATGTAAACAGAGGTCTATAATCAATTTCACATGTTTTCAATCTAGGTACTACAAACTCTTTTTAGGACTATATTTGATTCAACTTTTTTAGTGATTGGCATGGTTTAGCTGAACTCTGTAGTATAGGAGGTGAGATAATTCCTAATATTGAGAGAAGCAGTGATCCTGTCTCAAAAGTATTGGAAATTTGGGCAGAAAAAAATAAAAATGATAGTACCATTAAAAAGCTGGTTTTATTTTTGGAAATGTTGGATAGATTTGATGTTATAGATGATATTACTCCATTATTAGGTACTATAATTTTAATTTATATAAATACTATTCTACTGATGAGGCAATGTATCATTACCTGTGCCTCCTTAAATAATATACAGATGAAATAAATTAATATAATATAATACTTTATTTACAAATACATTTAAAATGTTAATAATAAATTAAAACTACATAAAATATTAATGAAACAAAACATTACACATATATTATGAAACATGGAAATATTCAAGCAATTAGCAAATTGTTTCTAGTTATAACATTTATAATTATTGAGAGTGGGCTTAAAATTTAAGGGCAATCAATAACTCCTCTCAGAACCTTGATCAAAAAGCATAAGTTAAATTAAACTCTGCAATTCATTACCTTGAATATTTATATAGTATTTTCAATTAAATTGTATTAAATCAAAGTCATGATGGTAATCTCTTCTTAATATACCTAATCTAAAAGCTCACCCTTATTTTTTTATTAAAATAGGTTTAAGTTCAAACTAATTTTATGCCTTATTTTATTTTTTTCTTTTGCTTTTATTTTTTCCTTTTTTGTTGTGTTGTTATATAATTCCTACCTTTATAACACCCCTATCACATTGCTGTTTGTACTTAGTTCTGACAACTCATAATTTTAATAAATTTTGAAAATAAAATATGTACTTATTTTTCTTTATTATGACTTAATGATACACAGGTAAAGATTCACTGCCCTAGCTATGTGCAGCATAACTTTTAGAGAAAAAATTATAATTAAAATAATTGTTTTATTTTATTTGTTTTTTATTTATTTATTTTTTCAAGACAAAGATGTGGAATACTTCAGAGCAAATCCCAATGGATTTACCGCCGATCTCCAAGACATTGATGACAGAGACATAATAACGTATGATGACGCTGAGCGAAAAAGAGAAGGTCTTCCTCCACAAACTTACGATGCATTTGTACTCTTTGATGAGGATGATATTGGTTTTGCCACAGATATTGTCAATACTATGGAAGCGCAGTATAATATGAAGTTATGTGTTAAAGACAGAGATGTTGTTGGAGGAGAATACAATCATGATTCTGTTATTAGACTGATTGCTACTAGGTGCAATAGAGTGATAGTGGTAGTATCCCCATCATTTCTGGACAGTCCAACAAACAAGTTTTTTTATACTTTGGCTTCAATGGATGGAATCGGTAATATTTCTATGTATTTTATATTTATAATAGTTTTTTTAGAGCCATGCATTGTCATAGCATATGACGAAAGTAAACAAGCACTTGTATCTGACTGCAAAAATTAAACACTTTTCTTTGAAATTTTACCATAAATGTACTCAAAATGTTTTTTCATATTTAATGTGCGATGCATTTGAAATCCGAGATATTTTAAAACAAGTCTTCTATTTGCCTATACTTATGTTATGTTATAATAATGCCTTTCGGTTTACTTACATTAAGTTTGAGACGATTATTATATAAAAACCTAAAAGTGATTTGTAGCTCATTTTTAATTTTTAGAACAGGTAGCTCTAGTATTTCATCTGTATTAGCTGCAATCACAGTATCCTCCGCAAACAAATTAACACACGGCTCTCCACATATCTAATATCATTCAAGTACAAGGTAAATTAGAGTGGTCCCAAAACATTGCATTGAGGAACGCCACTTTTTACATTTTTATTACTGGATTTAGAGTTATGATCCTTAGTATTCTGTCAACAGTTACTGAGAAAATATTTGAACCATAATAATGCCGTAATTAATATATTTTTTTTAGTAATATTGCAATATCAATAGTTTTAAAAGTCCTTTTAAAATCTAAGAAAACTGCTACAATATTATACATCATATTACTATCTATTTCAAATTTCCATGTTGTTAGGGTTAATTGTAATACTGCTTCACATTAATGCTTAGCTCTGAAACCAGATTGATTTTCCATTATGATGGTGGGTGAGGTTTTTTGGATTTTCCTCACCTGTAAGTCAAATGGCGCCATCAATTATCTTTAAATCGCTCCAGAGCGCCATGGCAAATAATATTAATAGCCGTCCCTTCCCCAACACAAGTTGCTCAGTCATCTTTAGGAGTTGAAATTTACTCATAAGGGGGTGCATTAGAAAGAGTATTATTATTATTAGATTATTATTTTCTAGATATACAGTAAGCTCTAATTTTTTTTTTCTAACTGGGAAGTGTGTTTATTGGTCTAAAATTTTTATACCAATTTATTTTCTATTTTGGGTATAGGTACAACTGTACTTACTTTCAAATTCTCTGGAAACTATCCAGTCCTTAGGGATGTGTTAATAAAATTTAAAATTATGTGGCCCACGACTTGCCAAGCCCTTTTTAACATGTTTTCATTTGCAAATATGAATTGCAATTATTATCAAGGAAATTCACTATATTACAAACCTCATAAATAGTAATTTAAATTCAGTACAATTTGTTTCTAGTTGTTGCATTTTGTGGTATAGATGATTGTATATGTATATCTTGTATACTATCAATAAAAAATTAATTAAACATTTCTACTTTCTGATTATCACCACTTACAGTTATTAGTTCATTATCAATAACAAATTCAATTTCTAGAAGCATGGATCTACTTTTGGTATTGGTTAATTGCTTTAAGTTTTGCCACAATTTTTTAGGATTATTTATATTATTGTTAATCTTGTTTTTAAAGCATTCTGATTTTTTTATTTTTAAGCATAATAACAATCTGATTTATATGTGATCTATAACATTTCGATTGTTAGGACAATTTTTAAAAACTTTATAATATTTCCTTGTTTAGTCAGCCTTGAACTTCATAATCACATCGAGGAAGCACATTTTGTGTAACACTATATAAATTCAATTTTTTTATCATTAATAATCAAAGCTACAGTGTTTAAATCTAGTTGTAAGTTATCATTAAGCTCATAGTATTGGTTTTTGTTACATTTAATTTTAACTTATTAACGGTGAAATAGTTTTGGAGTTGATTTTGGGAATAATTCATCATAGTTATGGAAACATCCATGTTCTTATGTGATACAGATAAGTGTGTATTATGAGCAAATAAGTTAATAAAATCATGTGTGGTGGGAGTCAATGTCATTGATGTAAATTAAGAAAAGTAAGGGGCATAGTATGCTTCCATGGGGTACACCATATTCCGAATTAACAGGATTTGAGAAAGTATTATTCATCTTTGTAATTTGTTGTTGATCGTTTAAGTATGTTTTAAGCCATACCGAAAATGTTTCCTTGGTTCCTATATACATTTTTTATAAGGTATTGATTTGGAGTTTTAACAACATTGGAAACTGTTTGATTTGTTTTTTTTTTCTATTTGTACCAATCAAACCTGCCATATATTTGAATTTTTGATAACAGACCCATATTAACATTACTTCAATAGATTATATCTTCAAAAACAATATATTGCCAAAATTACTAAAATCTGATATCATTTTATTGAAACTAACTCATACATAATCTTAAACAATATCTGGTAGCACAAGAATTTAATGGAAATGGACTTTTATGACAACTCAATTATTGTTAGTTACTCCTGCACTCTGAACAATTCTGAAAATATTTATATTGTAGTACTGTTTTCATCATCATAATTTGTTAAATTATGGCACTTCTTTATTTTAAAATGTTAAGAAAATTATAATTTAACTTTTTAGAGAAACAAAGAAGAAAAATAATTCCTTGCCTCTACAAGAAGTGCCCAAATCTACCCATTGATTTCAAGGCATTTCATCTTCTTGATTATACAAGATCAGAAAAATTATTTGGCAGTTTTTGGGACCAACTTTTTAAATCTTTGAAAGTTATAACGCCTCCTTCTCCAAGAATTTGTGAAAATTCTTCTGCAACATTGCAGAGGAACACAGAGAATCGGGCTAGAATGTAAGTAGTTATATGGATATTAATATTTTTTATGTGTTTAATATTTATTACTGTTTATTTGTTTCTAAATTTTGTTTATAATGGACATGCAAATAAAATGTGAATTATTTATCAGTCAAAACAATATCCATTTTAAAATAAAAAACGTGGCTACTGTTCAGACCAACTTTTAAATAATATATTTTTACTTAAATTACCTTTTTTTTACCTTCAAATAATAAGGAAACAATGAATACATAAAATACTATAGCAATTATATTTTTAATGTTATTTGTAAGATAACAGCCACCAAGTAAAACGATAAAGCCTAGATCTTTTAAGCCTTCCTTAGTCGCGTATGGGTCTCAGGGGCGTATTCTAAGAATAGTTTGCCGAAATTTTAAGGACAGCATTATTTTTATTGAATTGCAAATGCTTATTATTTGTGTCAGGTAACCCTGTTTATGGCTGATCAACCCAACACGAATAATAATCTGCATATTTGTGTTTGAATCGACACTTAAAAACTGTCAAAAATGCTTGAAAAAAAAATACAATGTAGGAGAAAGTGTCTTTGAATCTGAATAATAATAAAATGACCAAACATCTATCTATTTCATTTTATAAGTAAATACAAATTATTGCATGTAAAACAATTAAAAATCTGTCATTTAGTACTCATGGGTCAGGCAGACCCATTGCAACTAACCACGTTCCAAAAGTATACGTGCCTGATGAAGGGTTGACTATAAAAGAATTATCTTGTATCCCTAAATTATTCACATGAATTATAACAAATTATTTTTTTTCCAAAAACACAAACTCATAGAGGTTGTTTTCGAAAAGTTCTCCTAGATCCCGCAATAGTCAGGTTTTCATGATATTCCAAAAGGTCCACACTTGTTTGGACTTTATTCCTTGTCCACCGCGACTTTTTCATATCTATTGTGGGACTCCCTTATTTAGAGTATATCATCTAGCTTGGCCTTTTTTATTAGACTAGTGTTAGAAACCTTAATCTATCTAGGCCTGCACACTGGTACAGGACGTAAAAACACCTCCTTTGGCTAACACTGCAATAGGCATTGAATTATATCAAAAGAAAAACCGCAGATATAAAATTATTTTCAACACTTTAACTTTGATTTTGCTTACCAAGGAGAACGTCATTCTTGAAGCAGTTTCGTCCTTATTAGGATTCGTTCTCGATTCCAGTCTCTAATGGAATCTGCAGATGAACTAAATCTCCTCATACTCATGGCCGGTGTGTGGGGAAAGAAGTCGTAAGGTAATACTTCTACACTTGATAAGCAAAATCAAAGCTTGCTATGTTACCCATTTCAGAGAACAAAGCGGAATAATAATCAGATAAAGCAATCATCCAAGGAAATATATTATCAAGTTTAAAAAAAGTGGTTAAAATATGTCAAGTAACACAAAATTATATTATATTATATTTTTTTAAAACAAAGTATTGAAAAATGATTCATAAAATTTTTGAATAATATTTGATTGCAACAAACTCTTTGATCCTCGTTTTTTCCCTTTTCAAATCATATGCTGGATGTAGAGTAATTTTTTTTAAACTGTCGCTTCTGATCTTCTAGTTGTAATGATTTTGATGGGAACTGGTACCCCTGTGTCCTCTTTATAACTCCTAAAAAATGAAACTAAAGACTAATTTAATAAATCGTTTATTCAATAGTTTTTTTAACTGCTAAAATGTGTCCATATTCATAGATGAAAATAAAATTCTCCATATCGGTACCACACAATTTTTTGCCCTTTGACTTTTCTTGCTCTTCGTTGTGTTTAATGCTTGTAAGAAACCATCTCGTCTGCTTTTAAATGTAGGATGAGCAAAGCTGCACTTAATTTAATAATAATATTTGCAAAATAATATTCTAAAATATTAATTTCAGTTTAGGCTCAGTCCCTTTATTTCTTTTAACGATTTTTATGCGTAAAAAGTAAAAAATATTTGGCAACAGCAACACTACGGCTCGTTCCAGGCTTGCCAAAATTTCAAAATATTTCTGGATATAAACAAAGTGAGATCCGAATTCAGCTCGGAGGCCGTACCCTAACACATGTTTAAAATAAACCATTCACACAATAATATTTCTCTTTATAATTCAAATAAAAGGTGATTTATTTGAAATTTGATGGAAATCATTACATGTTTTTTACTTGCTGTTTTGTAGCTCGTCTTTCAAAAAATCAAACTAGCGATATTATAAAAACTATAACACCAGAACAAAGTTCGAAAAAATATAAACACCACTAAATAACAGTAAAATATTAGATTATTTAAAAAACTAATGTATGATCCCAAGTATATTTTCTATCAATTCACTTTTTCATTCCGTGACGTCGCTGCGTCCTTAGCAACCGTGATGAGGCCACCCTGTTGTCTACGAACCATGATCATAACCAACCCAACAGTTGTAAGGCGAGAATAAGAAAGAGATAGCAAAAAGTGTTTGAAAAATTACTAGATTCAAAAGTCTCGCGCTTTTTCCGCGCATGAGTAATGCGAAATTGTAGAATAAAGGGAAAGGCGGATTGAAAAAAACATCAATATAGCACTGATCTTAAAAACCGTTAGTTGTATTTACATCAATGTTCTTGCTGAGAACAATTATTTCAGTAGAAAGGCACTGCACAACTTAATTAGTAAGTTGTGCAGTAAGTGGTTTTGAACACTAAAATTCGTTACAGATCTATATTCTGCATAACGATGCATCTGACCCCTGTTAGAACTTGGTGATTTATATTTACGGCGTTGTTTTTATGGAAAAATTGAACTATTTTTAATAGTGATGGACCTTTTCATAAAAAATAATTTTCCTATTACCATTCTAGAAAGCGACACATATCGCACTATTTAGTCTTACGGAAAATGCCCTATATCACACATGTGTGGATAAGAATTCACTTTCCACTCGGGTGTGAATATCTACTTTCCGCATCAATTGTCAAATATGCCAGATGCATGATTCCTATTTTGATCTATGTAATGTCCATATTAATAATAAAGTATATTTGATGATTAAATTGTTAACATTTATTTTTATACCTAGATTATAGATATTAATTTTTAAAAAATTATTAAAATAATTGTAAAGTAACATTATTTTTTTTTGTTTATAAATGTACATTGATTAGATAATTTATTTTATCATAAGCTTGATAGCTCAGTTCATGGAGCGTTCAACTTTATCAACTCGCATATTGCAACCATGTCGCGACGCGCGCGGGTTCAATCCCCGATGGAAGCAATCTTTTTTTATTTTGGAAAAATATGAAAATTGAAAAAATACGACTATTGTTGTTAATTTATTTATTTTAAATACATTCTATTTATCATAATATATATAACCTCTACAGTTAATCTTTCCGCTATTTATTTTGCACTATTTTGATAACTGTGTCGAAAAAAAAGTGTAAGTAGTTAAGTAGGTAATCATCTTTAATAATAAAAAAGTTTTTGTTTACGGTTTATATTATTTGATTTATTAAAAAAAAAAAAACAAATGAAAAACATTGTAATCTAATATTTTTGTACATGTTATTTTACAGATCTCCTATGAAAGTGTTTGTAAATGGAATCACAATGTTTTTAATTTCGACAAAACACTATATGTAAAACACTTAAAAATTAATAATTATTATTCAATATATAAAAACAAATCTAAAACCAGTCACATCTTGATTGAACCTTTATAGCCAGATTTCCTGCTTTTACATTTTTTCATTAAAATTATTTTGTGGTCCTAGAATAAATATTTTACATCACTTGTATAAAAGTGATTTTTCACTCTTGTGTGATTATCGCACTCGACTTATGCCTCATGCGACAATATTTCCCGCTCGTGTGAAAAATGTCACTTTTCACACTCATTATGTTATATACTGTTTTGGACTAGTCCAGTGGAATCCGAAAAAGTAGTGAAAAGTAGACGATCTTGAAAAATTTGATAGAAAGGTATACCTACCACTAGTAACTCTGGAAATAATATTTCTTTCCCTTTTAGTCTCTGACCTTTTTGCCAGAAACACTATTTATCAAACAGCACGCTGTTTGATATCCCCTATCATAAAAGACTCACAGTTAAATGTTTCTCCATCTTGGATCCATTTTCAAAAACACTTTGGTAACATTATTTGCATTTATGTTTTAGCATTTTAAGCAAATTATTTGTAAAATGCTTTCAAAGATTTTTGGTAATTTTTTCATGATTTTATTTCAATAAGATATGAAACGAAAAATTCGAAAACACCCTTAAAACAAAAAGCCAGTAGTCATTTCCTCTTTTTTGCCTTTGTAGGCAATTTAGCCAAATTATTTTATTTAATTTCGCGCATGCGCAATATATTTTTTGGCTTTTCTGAGCGACCCATCACTTATTTTAAATGTTTTGATGTATTTAACTCAAAAATATGTCTTTGTCCTTTTGGAGGTACGAATATATACTATGTGAATCATGTAAATGAATGTGATTTTATTTCAACTGATTTTTGTAGATTTCTATTTTGACTTACATTATCAATTATTTTTTAGAACTGAAACTTCGAGATCTTCTAACCACGTAAAATTTGCCTTGCTGGACAATCAACAACAAACCCAGGATGATTTAGAATTACCCGCCGCAGAGATTAATGAAGTAATTTCAGTTTCTTCCACGTCTACATTAGGTAGTACCAACAAAGAGCTCAAAAAGCAAAACTCATTTTTCAATAAATGTAGGAAATTCCTTTATCATAAGATAGAAAAAAAAGGAGTGGATGATAAAACTGAAGTGCATCAAATCAACGGCTTAGTTCCAAAGAAGAAAAAGTTTTGGAAAAGTAATAAATTAAAATTAGCAGTTGCGAATTGACAATGATGCATATCAACGATATTCAGGATTTATTTTTTTATCTAAAAAGCTTATAGTGCTAGTTTGAAACAACAGACAACCAGAATATTTTTGGTTGTAATTGGGATTACATCCCGAAGAAACAGTTTGAAACATTTTGGTAATATTTTTTGTTCAAAGTTAATTAGTGACTGTTGTATACCTACCTGTCAATTTTTCTCTCGTTATCAAAGATGTTTCAAGTATATCCTAATGTTTTATATAAATATTTACAAATCATAAAATGATTTTATTGACTTAGTTATAAAGTCGTTATAAAATATTTTTTATTGCCTTTATTTGTGATAAAATAGCACAAACCTAAAGATACCCATTTAATCTTCAAATTTCATTAGTTTGACAAACCTATAGCGAGAGATTTTCATATTAAAATTGAGTACAAACAATATAAAATATACTGATGTGAATATATTGATATAGAAATATTTCATATTCAAATAAAAAAAAATCTAACTGGAGCGAGTTCAAAATCTATAAAATTAATAATTGAAAATTTACAAATAAACTAATTTGAACAGTGAAAAAGAAAAATAAAATAAATTTATTGCAACAAAAAAATAAAAGATGATCTCTTCTTCTATGGTGCTCCAGCTTCTCTGCTTCTCCTCGTTTTGCTTTCTCATTCTGATTATTTGGCGATTTTTCATATTAATTTATAATCTTAGTTTATGTTTTGTTGATAATTGAACTTTGGTGAAATTCAGTGAAACTCATTATTCAATTCCCTTGCATTTCGAAGCGTTTAAGCAGAAATAAAATTTTCCATTTCACTTTTTTGTTTTGTTTTCGAAATAGTTTATGTTGTACCTTTATGTAAAATATTGCTAGATGTGGCAAAAAGTCATTCATCTGTTCCATTTCATTACCAAATATTAAAATAGTATTTATAATGAAATATCGATACCTTTGTGCCAGACTGTCATAAGTGCCTTTGAACAAATGTCGCTTACGTTAGTCTGGCAAAAAGATATCGATGTCCTTTTGTACTGTTTTAAAAGAAAATTTAAATTTGATATTAATATAAGACAATCGTGTAGTTAAAAAAGTCTTTTTTTATTCTGTTCATTCCAACAATTTTTTTATTTGAGTTATGTTTATTTAAAGTTACGACATATTAATCTTATGTAATTCATATTATAAATGGGGACGACTTGAAGAAAGTAACTTGTTTTCATCTCACTCCACACTTTTTGTCGTGGCTTTAAACTTTAAAACGTTACGTTTCTAGTTTGATACGTGGCAACGTTGTCTAGTGATTACCAGTCTTACAAGGGTCTGACCCAATAATTTGACTGGTAGCGTTCTCGCGTCCTCTTTTTTTGGACCACTGGATACATCATTATTATAATTTTTTTATATTTACCACATCATCCTATTTTGTGTAATTTCAGTTTAACAAGGGTACCAACATAATAAAAAATATTGTAAATAGGTGTTAAAAGCAATATGAGTGGGACTGAATACTTATTTTTCAGTTTACTTATTTTGTGCTGAATGACAAGTTTTGCATGAAACAGTACCTCTGACTACTGTTTTGGAGCATATTTAATTTGTGCTACTTTGTAGTAAACATGTTGCGTATTCTGTTATTGAGGTTTCATAATAGAAACATAAACATACACTCGAGTGTATCAATTTTTCCGACTTTTGTATCAGATTAACTCAATATCATCGCCAAGAACGAAAATATTTGCATACAATGGCTTCGTTTAGCAGAAAAAGTCTGATTGGGGTCTGTTTCATTTGCATTGTATGCTGAACATGGAATTTTAATGTGCAAAATATAAGTGTAAACGACAAAAGTAAAAACTGAAAGGATGGCTTTGGTGGTTCAATGGATGCAAATATTTTAATTTTCGCTTTTGACGATAAATCTTATGTTGCAAATGACTGGAAAATTGGTACCCTGGACTGTACCGTTTATATCTCTATTTATATTAGTTGATCTTACTCAGTAAGAAGATACGCAACATGTTTACTACAATTTAAATGCTACACGTACATATATCACAGCGACATGTTGGGGACGTCGGACCTCTCCCCCCAAAGCCACGTGATTTTTGTCCGACAAATGTGACATCGCTAATGTAATATAGAGAACCGTCGATTCACATTAAAACTACAGGTATATGTATCAACTTCCTTAGGGACCAAGCAGCGTACAGGAAAAGTTGGCCGTGTAGTCAGATCGCTCATTACTTTGCTACCACACCTCGTATATAACAATTTTTAACGTGGTTATTGTGGATTACATGCATCAGATATTTCTTTGTAACTACTTTACTTTTTAACATAAATGGACACTAATAGATTTTTACTTTGAAAAATTACATCAGATCTTGTCCAATTAAAGCAAAAAAATAAAGTATAACATAATATACATTTTATTTATTAATTAAAGAGATTCAACAAACTCTTGTGATTTAGAGAAAACTGTTGATCATTATACATTGTCAACTCGGTTTCAACCCTGATACAAAAAATTACAGAGATATGATACTTAGCCGACGAAATTTCGCCGAGTTCGCGCATGACGTACTGTGGTTATCTGCTTGGCCATGAGCAGATTAAAATTTATTTTCTCGCTCTGTTTTCGAACAGCTGATACCTCAAATTTGTAAAAGTCACGCCTTCCCAACCCCATACGTCAACGTGACGTAGTATGAATCGGCGTACCTTATTTTTATAGTATCAATAGTTTCAACGGTAGATAACTTATACTTTGTGATATAAAAGTAAACAGTAATAATCGAGGGGCGAACCACTCCTGAAAATGGTACTTTCTTACTCGAAATCACCAAAAATATTCCAATTTTAATTATTTGTGTAATATGCACATAATGACATGGCAATGTTAAATAGGATAATTCGAATATTTTGATCCAATTCTAGAAAAAATATTGTATATTTATATTGGGTTCCTCTAGTTAGAAGTAATACTCACAAATTCGTTGGTACTGAATTATTGAGATAAATAGTGACCCACAAATTTTTATAAAGTAGGCCATGACAGACAAACCAGGAATCGAGTTTGTTCAAAGACATTACAACATAGAGACAAAATGTTTCATTCATAAATCCCATACAATTGCAGACTGTTATTGTTTTAAAATTGTTAGTGAGTGGAAGAGAGAAAGACAGATCTCTTAGGACCGGCTGGCAACGTTGTAAACAGTGTCCATAATATGCTCGCCAGTGGCGTAGAGTTTTAAACTTACCAGTATTGTCAGAGTAGTATATTAAAAAAATACGTAAATAAGTAATGTTTTTTTAGTAATATAATAATGATGATTTTTTCATGTAGGTAAATTCAAGTACAAGTAAATTCAAATACAAGAGAATTCAAGTTACCTTCCGATTTTTAATATTTATTGGTTTATAGTTTATTGGCATTTACTATATATTTGCCTGGTAAGATGTTAACCAAAATTATTTAAAATCTTAAATTAACATTAAGTAGGTAGGGGTATCTAATTAAAACACTGTCCTAAAAATATATAATTTTTTAATTAATAATTACAAAAAACATGGAATGGCAAAAAATATCGTAAAAAAAAACTGTAAAAATTTTTAAAATAACGTTTTAAATATATTAAATACCTTAATTTTATTAACTAAAATTTCATTTAATTTTTTTATGCTTAGTTATTAGTGTTATTAATTACTGCAATGTTTTTTTGCAGCAGGTGGTGTTCCAAAAAGAGTTGAATCAGAACTAAAAACCCATATATACATATAGGTAATAAATAATGTTTAGAGGTAAACAAAACATTAATATTTTGTATTTTTACCTGTTGGATAAGTCATCCAAAAATAGAAAGCCCTCACACTGTCTGGGGTTTGCATCTTTTCTGATATATTTAGCACCATTTGCACGTATCCCTATTAGAGGAAACCAAAGTTTTCTTTTCTCAGGATATTGCGGAAACCTAAATAGAATATTAAAAAATATGTATAGGTGCCTAATAGGTAAATCATTTTTAAGGTATTCTATCTACATTTTACGTTAAATTTTCTTTGCCACTATTCAATAATTATTTAATGGTATAAGAATAATTTACTAATTTATAAAAGGAATATCACTTTAAAAACTGTTTTAAGACTGTTTTAGACTACACAAGTTTTTGATACTATTTCTTGTACAATTTAAATTGTATATTATCAAACCTGCAGTAAATTATCTGAAAAATTAGATTGGATAATCATTTTTCAAACAATTTACTATGTGATCCTATAACATTTAAATTCTATAAGAAATTGTATCAAATCTTGTACAAGAAATTGTATAGTCAAAACAGTCTTAAGACGGGTGCCCTACTCCACTGGTTCAAATGAAAACAACTTATCTTAACCTAAAAATACTTACCGATGAAAGGATAAATTTCGATTTAAATGATCTACCTTATTGAACACTACACATGCATGTACCATAATTCTTTATATTTCTCACAAAAGTTCACAGAAATAGTATTTTATAAATGACTAAATCAATAAGTCACACAGAAACTGTCAGAAAAACAAAATAGCTGTTAGACCCGATTGGCAACGTTGCGGCTGATTACGGTAACTACGTTTCATTCATAAAAATAGGTACTAGTTGTAAATTCGTAAAATAAGATATTCAGCGTTGCCGTATTTACGGAGTTCTTTGCAACCCTAATATTTTGTCTAGATTAATATTGATTTATAATAAAAACTTTAGCTTATATTAAAAGTTTAAAGAATAATTTAATTAAAAACATATTTTTATTTATATAATATAAAATTATAGTTATAGGATACATCAATTTTTATTTTTCGAAAGTAATTTCTCAAAATAATTTGTACATACTGATAAAACCGGCAAAGACGCAATAAACGAGAATCTGGTGGGAATAATGATTTGCCACATAAAAATGTAAACAATTTGGTCTCTTAGTTGTAATGTCTTTGGGTTTGTTATAACTTCGCATCGCTCTAAATTAAATCCACTGACACTTAAAAAGAAGAATTGTACCCTCCTACATACGTTAATTTTTTTTAATGCCTAATTTAGAAATATTTTTTGTAAATCACTCCATACTTTTCGACGATTGTTTTTATTTGGAATAACACTCAATTATTATTTTAATATAACGTTCTTATTCATTATAGAACTCTCTAATTTAGAAGAAATTGCGTATTTTTAACTTTATCTTCAAAAACACACAATTTAATATATTTATTTTTAATTGGTATAAACGTATAAAGATTTAAATATTTTTGTTACTAGTCAGTGTCATATTTAAAGTTTGTTTATAAGATACTACTGAAATTGAAGTGCTTGAAAGAAAGAGTAAAAAGCTTAGAGGTATCTAGTCAGCAAATAAACAAATTTAAGGACCAATTTTGCCACCAAAGGGGGTTTACTTTTTTTAATCTTTAACGTTAACATCAATTACATAAAGCTTTAACATGATTTTGCTTTTTTACTTTATTTCAATCCTTCAATTGATAAAATGTATATCCTAAAAATATACAAGGGGCTTCATTAATAATGGACCATATTGTAACTGAATAATCTTTGACTCAATATTCCTTCTAACCGAAATAGACATTAAACATTATTTTTGCTCACCAAAAGTTTATGCATGTTTGAACACTTTAAATTATTGAATATAGTTTCTCGCTGTTATTAGAGGCGTACGGTAGGGATAGAGACTTAGTTTCCCCCTCTACAGTCTACGCCACTGCCGTAATCGTCATAATAACATCGTCATTATTTTCTAAGTAAATATTGTCTCATTGCGATAGTCACTGGTTTTCAAAGGTATTCGCTCAGTTCGAAGTCATGGTAGGGGAAGCAAAAGCGATACTAGCGCTAGCTGCGGATAATTCGTGCATTTTAGGGCGATATTTTGGCTTATCAAATATACGTATATATTTGTGTTGTAAATTGTACAAATACTATAAAAAACATTTTATAAATTTTCAGTAGCAAAATGGAAATTATATCAAAGAAATAAACGTACCTATAATTGCAGTGAGAAGGGAAAAGTAATTACAAACCTTTATTTTTGTAACAAGAGTAACAAAAGGTATTAGATCAATAGTAGACATTAGAAAACTGAAAGGTTTTATATACTTAAATTATTATTTTACGATGTTCTTCAAAATTCCTTGAGTACATATTCAGAAAGGATATATTTCTGCCTTTGATATTGTCTGTAACTGGAATGCAATTTTATGACTAATTGGAAAAAAGTTATTTAATAAATTATTCTGTTTTCTTTCAAACTGAAAATGAAGAAAACAAGTATAAAGTACATTCGAAAATATATAAATATTACAAATATTTTTTTGGGAATAAATTTTGAATCCACGTTTAACATTAACCTTTAACTTCATTAGGCAAATTTTCATACACTTTCTCGTAAATACTGTTGCCTAATTACTTATTCTGTTTTAATATTTTTTTTATTAAATATACTTACTTTTCGTTAGCTGAAGTAATAAAAATATATAATAATAATAAAAAAACTTTTCACTTGTTTTATAAATCAATATACTTTTATTAAAACGAAAAAATACATTTTCTAATTACGAATTCATTTAAAAATGACACACAAAATCGCCCTTTAGTACATATTTTAGTTGGCGCTGCCGTCACACACGGAGCGAATAAGGTTCCTAAATAATTTAATTGCATGGCTTAGGTGCATCTAACATGAGCTTGGTCAATTTCACTAAGTTTGGTCATCAAAATTTATAAATCAACATGAACTTCTCATATCTACAATTTCGCATTACTCATGCGCGAAAAAAGCGAGAGAATATTGAATCTAGTAATTTTCCAAACAACTTAATTGTTTCCTTTCTTATCCTCGCCTTACAATTGTTGGGTTGGCTGCGACGATTACCCCATGTCATCGTTAATTTAAACAACTGTCATCGAATCTATATAGTAGGGGTCTTAGTGATAGGTTTTTTTTTTGATACACATAAATTTACACAAGGCTGAATTATAAATGTATCATTAATTTTTACCTTGTATAAGATGGAATTACTTTGCTGCAGACGCACCAGCTATGGATCGCTCGATGACGACATCCTCAAAAAGCCAATATAGAAAATAAAAAAAGTTTGCTGCTATCTTGGTAGAGGTGGAAAACTTTCAAGTTAAAAAAAAATTATAATGTTTTATTTACGCAAAGCTCTTTTTTTTTTGTGATAGAATAATATTTCATATTAATGAAAATCGTTTGCTATAATTGATCTCGCGGTGAAATGCCCTATTATCAAACAAGAAGGTACTGTGAGTCGAGTTTCAAGAGGGTGGCACCAAACTTTTTTCTATTAACTTTTGATGTAAATAATAAAAAAGTTTCATACTTGCTTTTCTATGACAGCATTTTCTAAACAGGTTTTTTTAAGATGTCTTCATCGATGGATGCTGATTCTATTTTCTTTAAGGTAAGAATGTACGATATAATTGTAATTTTGCCTTTCACTAATAACACACCTAAAAGTGCCACTGGCCCCCCTACCATTACTTGCCGCGTTTGAGAATCCACATCCGATGCATCTGAGATGTAAAAAATCTTTGATCACGTGATTCAGTATACGTAAATGTAATGGGATAGATGTGTCCGATGTGGATAAAAAAACGCTCGAGATGTAAAAAATGCATCCGATGTGGATTCTCAAACGCAGCAACTATCAAACGCAAAATGACATTTGCATGGTAGGAAACCTAATAGAAACAGATATTGATGAGTTTAAGCGGAAATAGCATTTGCGCATGAATAATGGAGATTTTCAATAACGGGAAAGGTCCATTATTAAAACAATAAAATAAAATTAATTAGGGACCTTAACCTTTGTGCGTAAATATCTTTAAAACCACCGACTATATCTCGTAATAAGGCAAGAGGACAACATTTACTTAAAAAATAATGAGGTATCAAAAAAATATATTTTGACGATTACTACAGTGACGTAGAATGTAGAGGAGAACTAAGTTTTCACCTCTGATAATATCTAGAAACTTCTACAATACACATATATAAAGTTTTTGTCAAGTATGAACAAAAAATATTGGGAAAAAATAATGTTTAATCAAAAAAAAATGCCCTCGGTTAAAAGGAATATTTTTTTATCTGAGCGCTTTACATAGGTTAAATCGTCATATTTTGGGTCAAAGACTTTCCAGTTACCATATTTACAACTATTAATGAAACACTTTTATATTTATTTAATTAATTATAAAATGCAATTTTAGTATAATGAAATTGTATCGTCAGATGTCATTATTTTTAATAATAAAATTTCTTCTGGAAATATTGTAATTTTTATTATTTGTTATTGGGGTTACCTTAAATTGTTTTCCTTACAATAATTAGTAGGTATTAACTAATATTACTCATTTTTTCTATGTAAAACGTATTTTTATCAAGGATTGATGTCTGCGAATGACAAATCTCAGTATTATACGTCTCCAAAAGGTAAAAAAGTGTATTTAATCCAACTTACCTATATTCAAATTCGTCGGAATAAGGCGTGAAATTTTTTTAAAGAAAAAACTTATTTGTACTTAGCCCCTTCCCTCTAAGGTAGACCCAGGGCCGCCGAGAGCCAGACCGAACCCGAAGGACAATTCTCGAGATCGGGCCCCGCGACAATTTTATAAAAAATTAAATAACAAAAGGTCCTCAAGCAAAAATTTCTCCTCCTCTACTTGAATCTCTAATAAAAAAAAGGTCCCGCTGGCGGGTCCCTCTTATACCGCTGCCGGGCCCCCATTTGAGCCCGGGCCCCCATTTGAGCCCGGGCCCCGGGAATTAGTCCCGGCTGCCCCCCTCTAGTCAGCCCTGGGTAGACCCGATTTGCGCATTAGATTTTAAGTTCACTCTGCAATATTCAAGTCCCCTTCCAAAAAAAGTTATTCCGCCGCCAATGCTTATGCGACGTCTGATGCTGCGTTTGAGAATCCACATCGGATGCATCTGAGATGTAAAAAATCTTTGATCACGTGATTCAGTATACGTAAATGTAATGGGACAGATGTGTCCGATGTGGATAAAAAAACGCTCGAGATGTAAAAAATGCATCCGATGTGGATTCTCAAACGCAGCATGAATATCCACATCCGATGCATGTTTTACCTCTTGAGCGTTTGTTTGTCCACAGGACACATCTGTAATTACATTTACGTATCTTGAATCACGTGGTCAAAGATTCACAGCATCTCGGATGCACCAATGTGGATAAACAGTATAAGTCACATTTTGAGATGGTTTTGTTCTTCATCATATACTTTTATTAACCAAAATAAAATGCATAATATTTTTAAAGACAAATTGAATCGGTGAGTTCGAAAACCGTACAAGTCCAGAATTTTACATTTCAAAGTAAGAGCCATTTTGTTTAAAATTTGTCTCTTCATCGATTGAGCTTAAAAACCGTAATAGATACCTATCCGTTAATGTAGTACAGCTGATTACACCCGTGAAATTAGGCAAAAAATCGTACATATTCGTGACTCGTTAAAAGTTTTTATTGTTTTTCTCAGAAGGCTGATTTTTGACATGTACGGTTTTCTAACTCACCGATTCAATTGGACTCCAGTGTATGAGGCAGAAGATCCCGATACAGCAGCTAGTAAATTCATTAAAATAATACAAAATGGTATTAATCTCTGCATAAATAAGAGACAAATAAAACGTAAAAACAGTAAAATAGCACCTTGGTTAACATCTTCTTTACTTAGATTTATAAATAAGAAAAATGAATTGCATAAAAAACTAATTAAAAACCCAAATAATTTACAATTAGCACAACATAGAAACAAAGTAAATTCCTTAATAAAAAAAAATAAATTTAATTACTACAAAAATAAAATTGATATAAATAAAAATAACTCTAAACAATTATGGGACGTAGTAAACGAAATAAGTGGGAAAAATAACAACTCTAAAAAAATTAAGTAAATAAAAAATGAATCGGGAGAGCTTCTAATAAGAGAAAAAGAAATATATCAGATATGCCAAAGTAGGGAAAACTTTGGCTGAAAACATTAAATTAGATCCTAAATATAAAGACGCATTCCGAACTCCTTTTTTATTTTAAATATAGAACCAAGAGAAGGCATAATTAACAATTTAAAAGCAGTAGGTTGTGACGATATCAAAGCTGAAGTAATAAAACTATTAGTTCCGTATATATTGGATCCATTATGTTTTAAACAAGTGTATTGAAGTGGGCTGATTTCCTTCAATTTTCAAAACTGCATTAGTTGTACTGGAAAGGTGAAAAAACGGACGTAAACAACTACAGACCTGTATCGTTAGTCACTCATATGTCAAAAATCTTTAAACTATTAATATGAATAATATATATAATATTAATTAATAATATGAAAAATTAATAAAATTTCTAAATAAATATGATAGTTTATCTCATAATCAATATGGTTTTAAATCAAATACATCAACTGAAGACGTCATATTATCCTTCACCACAAAAGTTACTGAAGCACTCAATGAAAGCAAACCCTCTTTAAGTATTTTTATTGATTTAAAAAAAGCATTTGACACTGTGAGACATCCTCTACTTTGTCAGTCTCTTGAGGATATTGGTATTAGAGGTACCTACTTGTCTACAACTGTTCTCTAGGTACCTCACCGGAAGGTCTCAAAAAGTCAAAATGAGCGAAGAAATCAGCAGGGAGAAAGAAATAGAGTATGGAGTTCCGCAAGGTTCTGTCTTAGGACCGACCCACACTCTTTAACATATATATAAAAATGTTACACAACATGCGTGGGTCGTGAGTAAAGGTACAACACCGGTTCAAGCACAACAGGTCGAAAATAGCAATTTTTGTCCCTTAAGGAGGGTTCACACCAGACACATATAGTAATCCCTCATCTGCCATCTGACAACTTTTGAATTCTCTGTTTTATAATATATAATTTTTTGAATTAATATTTTTGGAATTTAAATAATTAAAAAAAGTTTTTTCTTTTCTCGAGGCTCGAACCTGGGACCTCTGGACTGACTGACCGCGATTTAAGTAGATCGACTATCTAGCCTATCAATAAAAATATTTCCAAACATGGTTCACATGGGGGAACACTAGAATGAGGATTAGGTGTATGGTGGTTTTGAAAATAATAGACAGGTTTAGGGGTTTACAACTTAGGGGCGGTAATCATCTTAATCTTACATTTTAAATGTTCCCATTATTCGCGCTGTGACAATTTAGTAATCTTTATGTGCCGTTTATAAGAAGGTGTGAAACTTAGATAATGACATGGTAGAGGTTTGAAACGTAGACTTGAACTATTTTCACCCAGTGACACTTTAGTTTCTACTATATATATTTCTTTTAGGAGTTTAGGATTTAGTAAAACATAGGATCTTGGACACCAATGCTTTTTAAATGGAAAACGTGTAGTTCACTCTGGACAGTAGAGTGCAGGTATGGACATTTAAGTAAAGATTGGACAAATATTGCTAATAATTTAAATGGGGGAAAGTTATTTGAAATAGGGTAAAGTCAACATTGGACAATGAAAATAAAATATATTTTGTTTCAAAAATTATATTTTTAAAGTAACAGTATTAAGTATTTACAGTAACTCAATGAGTTTCAAAATTGTCTCTCTTTGAAGCTCAGCTTTTTTATTTAGGCCCATTTTCAGTAAACTTGTAATTAGTTTCTTTTTCTTAATTTGTTTTTCTTTGTAATTATTCCTAATTTCCATTCCCCGTTCTGTTTCGTAAAATTGTCTTCGTTTCTCGTTAGCTTCTTCCCTCCGCCTTATTCCTTCGGTACCTCTATCACATCTATATGTGGATTTATCATGAAGTTCGTGTTCAGACGTATTTTTCTAAGTCTTTAACACCTTCAGATGCTAATTCTGAAATTTCTGTGCGTACTAAGCAACACTGTTTTCCCCGGGAATGTAACCAATCTTGTTTGAATACTCTTCTATCGTAATGAGAATGAGGTGTACCTCTGAGACCATCTCCATCCCTTCTAAGCGGCTTTTGTCCATCAGCACAGGTGATGTATCTGAGGACACCAACAGCATGGTCCAAGCAAATTATTTTCTTGAAAGTTGTTTTTGAATGGAGTCGTGTACCAGTGCGCTGTAGTTTTTTCTTGTAGGCCAACATTGTAAATCCATTAGTAAAATGTATTAAAGCGTGAAGATGTTCATGTGCTGTACTACCATCGTCTGCTATTAGATGACATCGACAAATAGAATACCATTTAATATTTGGAGCACAAGCAAGTACATTAAAGTCCTTTTCATTTAATATTAAATGATACCATTCTTTAGACAATTCTTCGTAATCTTGTGCCATTTCCTGTGGCGACAAAGCGTTAATTTCATTTAGATTCAAGAGAGTTAAATAATCAGTTTTTGACAAAGAAGACATTTTTTTATTATTTTTAGAGAAGCTACTCGTAGAAAATGTGTCTGTAGACTGGAAGAGTCTTTAATGTCTCAATACTTTAAACAAATAATTCATTACCCCCCACTACCAAGTTTTTTGCGCAAGTGCAGTAGTCCAAATGTGCGTGATGTAATCGTCGTTGCGTTATGCGTTCACGTAAACGAAGGTTAGGTTAGGAAGGCATACGAGAAGTTCTACTATTTTAAGAAATCTATTTTAAAAAATAGATTTCTAAAAATAGATTTCTTTAAATAGATTTCTTAAAATAGATTTCTTAAAATAGATTTCTTAAAATAGATTTCTAAAAATAGATTCCTTAAAATAGATTTCTTAAAATAGATTTTTTAAAATAGATTTCTTAAAATAGATTTCTAAAAATAGATTCCTTAAAATAGATTTCTTAAAATAGATTTTTTAAAATAGATTTCTTAAAATAGTAGAACTTCTCGTATGCCTTCCTAACCTAACCTTCGTTTACGTGAACGCATGTCGCAACGACGATTACATCACGCACATTTGGACTACTGCACTTGCGCAAAAAACTTGGTAGTGGGGGTAATGAATTATTTGTGTAAAGTATTAGGTCTGTTCGGGTTCTTTAAAATACATTAAAAACTATCAGACTATTTGACCAGTGGACAGTTTAATAGTTGTGTGCGACGTATACTTTAGAATTGAACTGTTCCACTAGTTCTCGGACGGTTTGCATCGAGTTTTAAGGAAACCCGAACAAACCTATTAAGACATAAAAGACTCTTCCAGTCTACCGAGACATTTTCTACGAG